AATAGCTGTATATGACAATGGACAGCAAGGACTGGAAATGACTGTCAGGTAATGAGGTTAATTTGAATGAATGAGGTTAATTTGAATGACTACTGTGGCAAAGAACACGATGGAAATGGTCCTGGAAATTAGTAATGAACTATGGATTTTGTACCGTGACAATGGCTTGATAAGTCAGTCCTAACTAAAGGTTGCAGTTCAATTTTAACAGGGATCACTCATTTTATTCCAGAGTAGTAGGTGATGCAGAACACCATTTGCTGTTATTTGTTTTCTAAATTAAATTTTAAAACTGAGAAGTTTAATTTCATGTATCAAACTTCTGCTGTGAAGGGTTGTATCACCGGAAAAGCTGACAGATTTATAATTAATGACAGTGAAGCATAACAATAGGATCAACTAAAGTAAATTAACAGATGTTGATTTCTATTTGAAAGAGAAAATTACACTGTAATTTAGGGTACTTCAAAATGGCACTTAAAACATAGAGGATTCTTTGGTCTTGACTCTAACGTAGCTATTTCTTTTGAGAGTGAAAAGAAAAAAGTCTACATGGCTAATGTCTATTTTAATGAGGCTTGCATTATTTTCTTGTTCAAGCTCTTAAGCTTTCCTGTGTATCTTTTCAGTTCAAAGACTCAGTAATCAAATGTTGCAGAAGTTTTCCACAAACTAGCTTTGATAATCAGAATTTTTTATGAATCCATAAGGTGTCCCTGTTCTGCTATATTGCCATCCTGCAAGTCCTCTCTTGAAAGTAATGAAATCAAGTGGCACGTCAACTGCAATGTCATGCATCTGCTTACTGGATGCATGCTGCTGCCATTATACAAGTTACCTTCCAACTAATTTCCACATTGTAATGCTCATTCTGTTCCATGAAACTGAACAAAGAGGGTCAGGAAATTGTGATAGCAAAGTAGATACTCTGTTTATCAAACTAGCAAAATTAGCAGAGAATATAAAGATATACTTAAAAATACATGCACTCTTTATACAAATTATTATGTCTACAGTTTAAAAATGGTAGGTACAGTACACATAATATTTCTGCAGACACAACCTGCTCTAGATGTTTAGAGAAAGTTTGGATTTGTCCTTATTTATCTATATAAATAGTTTCATAAACTCTATGCAGCCCTTATAGAACAAATTTTCTTCGAGGTATTTACAGAAGATGCTCAGATGTGATCTGAAACATAGAGAGTATAACTTTTTTAAAGTTGCAGCATGTTAAAAAAGCACACTTCCTTTTTGTGCACAATGTCACTCTGACTTTGAAAATCACCAAATGAAACAGAATAGTTTTCCCATCTGGAAATGAGACTTCCCATCAAAATCTACTTTACATTGATTAAAGTATTTACCATTATATTTGAGCACTTATTACAGTTCTGTCCATGAAGGAAAAAAATCCAAGAATAGCACTTTGACAAGACATTTTAAAGGATTTATCATGGTAAATTAGACCATTAGTCTAGCTAATCCAGTATCCTGCCCCTAGTAATGGCTAGGGCTTCAGAATACAGCTTCTGATTTGTACCTACTCAGACACTGAGTGTTATTTTTCAGCTTCAAGGTGATTTGTCACATGCTGTTTAGAACTGTCATGTTGTGTTATGCTCAGATGCCAAAGTTATCTTGTCTATTCTTTCAGAATTTTATTGTTTTTAATTATTTATTCCCTTTCCATGTCAATCCAAAGGAGAAGCTGCTCACTGTTACACAACAAATGAAACAAATAATATCTTGTTATCTGATTATATCAAATTTGTGTTAATATGCAATTTGAGCAATAACTGTCTGCATTAAATCCACTGAAGGAAAGGAAAATGTTTACTACAGTGTTGATTGAAGATTACAACAGGTGACTCCTGTAAGGAGTGCTTAGTGCTAATTGCAGAGTCGTGAAACTACCAGCCTGAAGTACCTCATAAAGTCAGGCAGGCCTGAGTGACAAGAAGGAGGCTGCCAAAAATGGTAAAAAGAACAAATACAAGGGAGGGAATTCTGTAAATGTCTCCTTTCTTCAGAATAAAAATCAAACTAACATAATTCAGTTCATTACAACAAAATTTCTATCACATCTTTTGTTTTGGAAGAATTAAATGCATTTTGCAACTATCTAAAAATGATATGCAGTGCTATTAGTTGGATAAAGTTTTAGGAGTAGAATTTTTAAATGTCTTGCATTATACAGATGGTAAAGAAAAGGGTATATTATACAGATCATTTACTGGAAATGCTAAAAAATGCACCAAGTCCAGTAATATTCAACTTTTTACATGACGTAATAAAAAACTGAATGATGAACTACTCCAGTGATATGCTACCCTCATAAAGAAAGGTGAGAATAGGGGTCCTCACATGGTTTGAGTTTGGCCTTATTTTGGGAGAGGGGAAGTTTAATTTTTTTTTTCTTTGTTAAGTAATTTTAGAATATACAAACACATAGATAAGTTCAGGATGTAAGTAGCAGCACTTCCATTCTATTTACCTTTAACAACAGTTAAATATATACTTGTTTGCTTTTTACTTTCCTTCTATTATTCTCAAACCACAGCGAAAAGCAAGCACACTTCATAATCCAGAATTAGCATGTCCACAGACAGGTGGTCTTGCTACTTATGAATAACTTCAAAATAATTTAACAGGATAAAATGAAAGAGCCAGCCTGGGGCAAGCTCCAGATAAGGTCCTCAACTCCATCACCACCTAATAAGTTAAATGTACTGAAAGTAGTCTTAGGCTAGTAATAGTGGCATTAGTCTCTGACTGTTGAGCTTAAGAAATGCTAGTATGTGCAGTGAATATGTATTCCTTGCTGCATTCCAATCTGCACTCTCATTGGCAAGAATTAAGGAATACTTAGACCTTGAGAGACTTCCTATTACAAACTCCATAATATTCTTAAACAGTATCTTATTACATACAGATAATACTTAGACAATCGACATGAAAGACTTGGCTCTGAAGAAAATACTGACAGTAGCCAACAGCAGACTTGCTTCTTTCTGCTTTCCTTCAATAACTTGTGCTGCATTTTGGAGACAATAATCTTAAGATTTCAGAAGGGGCAGCTGATAAAGTGTCTTTGTTTCCTAAAGAATAAAGGAGATGGTTTTGCTTGAGTCTGTATGTTTTCTGTTTTCTCCCAAAGAAAACAGAGTTTAGCCATTCATTATAGGCCATTAAAAGTATCCAAGATACCCAGTACCCTAAACAAAAGTCATGATGGCATGCCACAATATTTGTAGCCACTGTTCTCTTTAAAAAAGGGGTAGTGTATATTTCTATCTTATTGATAACAGTCTGTAGCACCAGCAATCTGCTCTTCTTTCTACTGTAGCTTGTTGCCTGCCTCTTACAAAGCAATATGACCCTAAAGAGTGGATGTAACCCAGCACAAATAATAACGGTTTGCAGGATAACCACAGTGTCATGCCAAAGAGGATACTGCTTCAGTCACTGGACATAGTGGGAAAAGGGTCTTGAGTCTTTCTGCCTGTAAGGCATAACCAGGGTAGAGGACACCTGAGGGCTCTCTGGTGAGAAGATGAGGAGTGTGCAGGGTTGCATGCACTTGAGATATCTTCTCAGTGAGGGAGTGCAGTCATTCTTGTGTCACATAAACTGTAGTGCACAGAGCACCATGTCATGCTAACTGCTGCTTATATTTCACTAAACCATGGGCAAAGAAAGGATGCTCAGAAGAAAGAATTTTGCTTTCTGAGACCTTTTGAAACGTACAATTTCTGCTAGTCTGTGAAAGGTCAACTAGGACTTGCATAATATTTCTAGTTTTACTATTTTGAGCTCAAACTCCAAAACAACTGCAGTGGTTCTACTTTTAATGAAATATAGACAAAGTTCTAGAAGGATAGCCCACATGCTATTTTCAGCCTGCAAAGCCTTGATAATCCATAATGGCATTTTGTAATTGTAGTGTGCCATTTACCTGAGATGCTGTATTCCAGGTGAAGTCCTTCATACAGTCGCTAGCATTATTGCCCATTCTTTCAATTGCATTCTAAGTAGGAACAGCCTCTCATGAAAAATTTTCAGGATCATTGAAGTGAAAACATACTGTTGAAGAAACATTACATGCAGTCGTAGCGATTGGTCAACTTCTGGTCATTCACAAATGTTAAATGCAAAGTATGCATTTAATATAATGGAAATTCCTTTGGATTCCTTTGGCCTTGTGTGAGTTGTATTACTGAGTTTCTCCACTGCATGCCTTGAACCCCTGTATTAGCATCAGTACTGCTCTTAGATATCTAATTCCCACTTCAAAGTTTCCCGTTTAGATCTAAAATAGAAAGAAAAGAGTTAGGACACCAACATCCTTCACCTTCATAGTTATACTCTTTGTACGGAGGAACATCATAGCTCCCCTTACACTGTTTTTCATGAAGGTGAATAGACTCCTGAGCAGGATGGATTGTGCTTTTTCAAGATGAAGTGAATGTACAGCTGGATTTGCTGCACAGCCCTCTAATGGAGAAGATAAACAAAGGACTTACTCCCACTCTTTTGCTGGTAGAAGTTTGAAGTGGAGCCTTCCCCCATTTTTGCACATATCAAGTAAGCTAGACAGGTAGTACTGCAGGCTGCTTGGTGGCCAATAATTTTCATGTGTCAGGTCCCTTTATATAGCCCTGTCAGTTCATCTAAATCATCATTTGTATTGCTACCTACTGTGCCAATTGAATACTCCTAGACACTTGTATTAGCACTCTTCAGTCCTGATCTAAAGTATCCCACTGTTCCTGTTGCAAAGCTCTTAGACAAAAAGGTGCCAAACAGTGTGGTGTTCACCGAATGAGATTGCAGTTCTTGACTTCAATTGAACAGTGTGGAGCCTTATTCTAGAGCCAGTATCTCTTTCCTAAGACACGTGTATAAATGCATCTATATGTGTGCACACAGACACTCATTTACATTACAACTCATTGTAGTTCCATGCCACTAATCTGATTGCCTGTTCTTTTCTGTAGCCCAGATGATTTACTGAATGCACTGAATGAGGGTATCAGCCGTGCTGATGTGATCATTACATCAGGAGGTGTATCTATGGGGGAAAAGGTATGCTAAATTTAAATATGCCTTGCTACAGTATATGTAAGAATTTCAAGCCAGAGTCTGTCGTCAGAGCTGCTGCCTTTGTATTAATGTTTATTAAAAAGGGATCCTCCTTTTCTTGGACCACTTATATGTGAATTAATTAAGAAAATAGTCTTCAATGCTATCCGTGTTCCCTTTGTTCTTGTTACTGTCCTATAGTAGACATAGTACAACAGAGGAGATTTTAATTCTTAATGTGATTTACAAATGTGTTTTTATTTAAGGAATGATTTGTGTAGTTTTGATGAGGAAGGTGCTTGGTTAATAGCACATGCAGTCAACAGACTTATTTTTGTTCTTAGAGTAGGTAAAATGTAGATTGAATTAAGATACTGTAAAAGTACTTGGAAAAGCAACCTGAGTATATAAAAAGCCTTTTTTTTACTCAGCACATCTGTTTCCTAAATATGCCAAAGCTCTATCTGTTACAAAAATAGTTTTAGCACATTTTGCACCTGATAGTCCTACAGAGGCAATACATATGAGACCTAGTGAGTTGATATATTTGCCTTTTGAATCATTAACATAATTGTTGATTGAATTCCTGTTGGTAATCCCTGTGCCAAAACCATCAAAGAAAATAGGGATACACAGATGCTAGTGGGGCATAGATGAACCTTCAGGACATTTATTAATCATGACTTATGTGAAGGAAGACTCAGATTCCTTTTTGGTCCCAGGCTGAATCTGTGAGTTTGGCAGGTAAAAGAAACATCTCTCCTTTTATAACTAACAAATACTAAAGACGGTCATTAGGAGATGGCAAACATGAGTTTTTGTCACTTTTTTAGTAGAAATGTTATTGTTGGATATATCATGAAAATGGGTAATTAGTTAAACCAGTGCCAACCACTTTCAATTACTCCAGTTGTTTTCAGTATTTTTAGAAAAATAGCCAAGGACAAGTGCTAATCTTTAAACTGGGAATGTAGTGACATAGTGCAGAGAAAGGAACACTAGGACGTGACTGGACCGCTGAATGGTCTTACAGACATTCATGCCTTCTGGCTGATTTCTCCCCAGTCTGAATTTGAGACAACAGCATAAAGTCAATAGGCTCTATATTCCACTGATGGTCTGCCCTCTGATACTGAGCTTTCTACTCTGTTTCTACTGACTTCTAATCAAATAACTGTGAACATCCAAAAAGTAAATAGAAAATAAAAATGGGGTTAATGCAATCAATAATTGAGAATTCATACCTGGCTGAAATGAAATGCTGCTTTCCAAGTATTTAAACACACACACATCAAGAAAAAAAAAAGAGGTGGGAAAACAGATGACTGTTACAGTCTGCGTCGTTAACCTCACTAAACACAACAGATAGGGTACTACATCTTTAAGCACAGCAATTTTCAATAAAGACTAAACAAGTAATTCACTTTGTTTTAATAACTGGATCAATTGTGTTTATGCAAAATCATTTAACTTAACTCACGTACAAGTCACCCACAGTTTTTCCTTTCTAAGGAATGTTAAATACAACCACCGTGAATTATACCATGTCCCCAGAAAATTACAATAATTACAGTATCCTGGAAAACTATGATTTCTACAGTACAGTAAAGTACTGATTTCAAAAGTACTAGGACATCTCTGAATCTACTGCTAAATAGGTTCCATGGCAAAAGTTAAATAACTTGATGATTTTAAGTCTTAATTTTGAACCATAAAGGTTTTTTTCCATCTTTGACATAGAAAATGTTTTAGGTATTTGTGAGGTCCTCTAAGATTCTGATATTGCAGGTGACTTTTAAGTAAATATGTTACTGTGTCCTTGTGGAGTCTGGTTTGGCACGTAAAATGAGTCTATACTTTACCTCTTCTTTTTGAAAACACTTGCTTTCAAATACTGGAAATTCCCCACTCAACTGTAGCCCTTTGAGGATATGGAAAGTCTTTCATCTTCACTTGATATTAATTAATTGCTTTGAATGCTTAGATGATGTAAAGCCACTTTGATGTTACTTAATTGATATTTTTTTTTAATTTAAACAGGACTATCTTAAACAGGTACTGGATATTGATCTTCACGCACAGATTCACTTTGGCAGAGTTTTTATGAAACCAGGGTAAGAAATCTTTTTGTTTAGGCAGCCTAAATGGAGGCTATATTGGGCCAAATATCCTAATGAAGTGCTTCAGTAGATTTCGGTTTTCCAGATATACTAAAAACTACAGAATAGATATATATGGAAAAATAAGCAAAATCAGTGCTATTCAGATTAATTATCATCTTTACGGGTGAAATTAACTGGAACAAAGAAATTACTTTTTATCAGTAAGAGATACTTCTCTGATAACTGTTGCAAATCAGGTTTGGGGATTAGTGGTATACCAGCATGGTATAAACATTGCCACAGTCTTCAGTGTGATCACAGCACTCACACTGACGTTGTTATGAGATAGCCAGGAAATATAAGGACATTAAACTGCTAGTTTACTTAAAGAGTATCTTATTTTGCTTCAAAATTTGTGTAAATTATCTTCCTACGAACAAGCAATTCCTTGAGAGAGGTGGAATGACAGCTAATTTACAAAGCTTTGTCTAATTGGCATATTGAGCATAGTAACTTTAAAGTAAGCACAATCCTTTCTGTGTTTAGTTCACCTCAGGAAACTGTTTCAAGCATTGCTTTCCTTTGCCGTAGTAATGCTCATTAATGAGTCTGCTTTATAGAGGAAATGAAAACTACATATATTGAAAATAGTTTCCTTTCACAGTGCAGTAGTGAAAAGATGTCTGCAGCTCTACCTCACTCGCTTTGGAGTGCAGTTTGTTTGCAAGCTAGGTTGGCATGGTCCAGCAATGCAAGACCAAGCACAGCTTTGAGAAATGATTCCCTCTAGTCCATAACTGTTGCCAGGGAGCAGAACTGGAAGTGAGTGTTTGCTATGAAAACAGATAAATACTTTTAGTGCCTTTGCATACAGTCCAGTAAAGAACTGCATGTGGGCTTGGTGCTTGTGCTGCTGCTGCCACCATCTCCCTTCCATAACAGGAATGAGTGAGCTGGAAGCGTTTCTTCCCATGGTGGATGTAGCCCAGGCATGGAAATTGCTCACTGCTTCTGTCATACTCCTACAATTGGTGTAGTGAAGTCCCTGAACTGGGATCTGCACTCCAGCCTCTGCTGCTGACAGGAATGGATAACTTGATTTAGAGAATTCAAAATACTAAATTCTAGTTCTGGCTTATCTGAAAGCGAGCATAATTCTTTCTTCTAGTGAACCCTCTGTAGCCTTGTAGCAATAAACTTTTAATAACTAGCTAAAAAACCTTCAAGAAATCTTTTTTCCCCCAAATATTCATTTTCATTTTATGCCACAAGAAAGATATTTTTTACTGCTACCAAAGCATTTCGTCATCAGTTCTTAATCTAAGCATTCTCATTTTCATTGTATGTAGTGCAATAGCAAATACTGTGTCTTGGGTTTTATTAACTGTGTCATAAAAGACCTTAGATATGAGTTGTGAGTTGGGAAAAAATCCCTTAAGTAAGTTCCAAGAGCAAAGTCAGAATTTGTTGTATGCCTATATTTTGTTGTGCTACATGAATGTAGAGTAGGCCCTGGGATTTACCATCCATCCACTTGATCTGAAAGTTGCTGAGCTCATGTAAAGTTATGTCCTGCCAGAAGAAAGTACTGGAAGACTTTACCAATGATGGTGTTGAAATCTCATATGAGAATTCAGAGTTTCTAGTAAATATGAATTAGCAATTAGATTTTTTGTACCTTGGTTTGTGCACTGGTTATAAGAGTTGGCGGTCTGATACCAGACCACCGATCTGGTTCCCATCATGTTAGAAACGTTTTGAAAGAGAAACATCAAACATTAACTTCCCCTGGTAAAATAGGATATTGATCAGTCTTAGCACATGCAAAACTAGTTGGTAATGACCAAAGTGTGGCAAATCTCCAAAGCTGCTTCTGGTCATCAACTATTATCTGCTGACCAGGTGAAAGTGGTCGGCTCAAGCCTAATTATTGCTCCTGTAAGGTATCATTTCTAATGTTTAAAATTATTTTATTAACACAGGTGTGTAGAATTCTATTTTCATGATGAGTCCCTTTTCTTTACCAGCCACATTCTTGAGCCAACATTACTCTTCTATTTGTATAACTGTAATAGCCTTCATAACGACATGCTAAACATGACTCGGGAGCAGCTCTGAAAGGCAAACAAAGCTCTTCACTGATAGACCTGGGTCTTACCTGGCTGCAGCTCTGGCTGTGGATCTGAATTTGTTCATCTGCAGGCTAGCTAGCATTTGCTGTCAGAAATACTGTTCTGTTGTCACTACTGCTGTAGAGACTGGAGTAAGAGAATTGGAGTCACTAATGTTATAAAAATTTGGAGACCCTTGTATGGAAAACAAACACAGCTCTGTAATTGCATAATTTCAGTATTACTTCTTTATTGATTGGCTTCTAGCATGAAGACAATGCTAGAATTAGGTTTTCGATTACTAGTTCATCTCCTTTTAGATGTTTCCTCTCCAGAAACAAACTCACCTACTTAAAACTTCATAGCTGAATACCAAGAAAAACTAATTGCTCTGTCACTACAAAGAGAGGATTATACCTCCAGTGTGGAATAAGCATAAGGTGCTAGTGAACTGCTGAGAAAGAGATATTCTGTTTTGTTTTTTTTTCCAAATGCTTTAAATTACATAATAATGTTAAGTCAAAGTCTAATGCAGATATTAAATAACTTTCCTTTTCCATAGCTTGCCAACAACTTTTGCAACTCTGGATATTGATGGCGTAAGAAAAATAATCTTTGCGCTCCCAGGTAAGATGTTTTCTGGATTACTTTTGTTGCTGTGCAGAGATGACAGACATGAAACAGAATAGTGACATCACACAGTACCTGTGCCTGGTGTTGGCATCCCTAAGGAAGGTACTTGTAAGATTTTCTCAGAAATTTCCAGAAGAAATGGACTTACAGGAATGTACTAAGGAGTTCTCTTTTATTCCTGTCCTCAGAATTTGCTGGTGTACAGGTCTTATTTCTTCCATCCAACAATTTCCTTGGGTTTTTTTATAAGGGCGTTTTTCTCCTCTAGCTTCCTCCACCTTTGCAGTAAATATCCTCTGTGTGTGTGTAAGTCATTGCATCCACTCTGATGTACTGAAAACGGAGACAAAAATGAGGGAGTGCCAAGGAACATGTCACAGAATATTTTTGTTTATCATGCTCCTACTGTGGAACCAAAAGAGGGCAGCACAGCTGCACCACTGGCCAATGCGTGCCCTGGGAAAGCATCTATTCAGAGTAAACATTTACTTAGGGATCCCTGCCTTCCTAGATCAGGAGGAATTTATTTTATTCGTATCTCTCTGGTTTTCCACGAATTTTGACACAGAAATACACAGAGTCATGTTCTTGATAAGCTGGTGGTTTTCAGATGTCTCTCTAGTGGTTTTACCCTCTTGTTTTAGTTGCTGTAGTACATTTTTTTTACAAGGGAGAGATCAATGGAGCCTCTGTTTAATCATAGTATTTACTTTAAAACTGTCATCTAGGGAGGTCCAGATGTGTAAGACAGTGGTGTTTGACAGATGGTCATGAACCTCTGTTGTGAGTCAACAGAAAACATATAAATCAGTAGAATTCTCCTCAGAATTTGTGTTTATACCATTTTTCCACTCTGTTAGGGAATTGCAATTTTTTCAAGTGTCTGGGAACCATTAGTCATGCATCAAGAGCCCTGTGAAATAGAACCAATACCTATGCACAATAAACCTTGCCCCAGCCCCAGACAAATCCAGGCATAGGACAAAGGCCTTGGAAGAACAGAGGCAAATGGTGGGGCCTGAGTAATATGGGGCAATTCTGGTCAGAGCAGGATTTCAGCACACCATCATCCAGAGTGTAGCTTTCAACAACTCTACTTACCACATGCCACTGCAGTCTTGAATGAAACATTTCCTGTACATAGCGTGAAAAGCCCTGTAGAGTTCTTTAGAGTGAAATTGCTATAAAAACATGACTTCACTTTCAGCAATTCACAGAGTAAATCAAGAGGGAGTCACCACCCACCAACTGTTCTTTGTTCTACAGGTAACCCTGTGTCAGCTGTTGTCACCTGCAATCTCTTTGTTGTTCCTGCACTGAGGAAAATGCAGGGTATCCTGGATCCTCGGCCCACCATCATCAAAGCCAGGGTAAGAAGCTTGTCCTGTATTTAAAAATTCTCTCAAGATGTTGAAGCACAGCTCTTTGGGCTTTGAAAGACTGCCGTGTTTGGGTAATCTGAGCCCTAGACTAGTTCTGGCAGTTGCAGGAAGTTCACACAAAGATACATTCTCAATCTCTGTTAATTGTAATAATCAGTCCCAATACGTCTGAGAGTTAGATGGCCATCTAATGGAGCGAGATATACAGATGCAGAGGAAGACGTTTGACAGTCAAGTGGGAAGGACACTTTTCTGTTTTAAAAAAGTGGTTGTTGTAACTTGTGGTAAAAAAATGCAGAGTAATCTGTGAATACCTAGAGTTGGATAGTTCTGCATTAATGATAGAAAATACAAACTTTAAAGCCTTTCTGTTATCTGTATAAGTAACCCGCATGACCCCCACCCTAAGCAATGTAAATCCCTTAAACTATTCACTCTTCTAATACATCATGAATACGGTAATTCTATTTAATCTAGATGCAAGGCATGTTATTATAATGTATTTTTCTTCTATTTTTGATTCAAATAATACACAAAGGAACACGTCACGTTTTGGAGTTTTCCTAGTGTTCTTGGCTATGCGCTTTTCTCGTACTGCTTATCCCATGTCTCTCTTTTGCGCTTCCTCCAGCATCCAGATTTTTCTTTACCTCACAGCTAAAACATTCTAAAACAGAGAGCAACTTGTAGTGACCTTCACTTTTGCATTCATTTTCCAATGTGTTCCATTAAATTCCATTGTGAGCCATTTCCTGTATGTCTTTTCATTTCAAAGATTGGCCATTTCCCTTTTGTCAGAGCTAGCAGGATTTTGAATGCAACTAACATTGTTATCTTTAATCCAGATAATGTAATCCAGAGATCAGAAAATGCTTTTTTCAGGAGAAAAACTATCTGTAAACTCCCAGTAAAGGAACAGTTTTGGAATATTCCACTTTAAGCATGTATACTCCATCACAAACTTTGATATTATAATATCACAGTTGTATTTTCCTTAAATACTGCAGTCTGTGCCTTGTACAGCTTCTAATTTTGCACTAGATACCATCTGACCTCAAAATGCAAGTTTTTTTTAAGGAAAAACAACTGAACAGATTGTTCCACTATATTAGACACTGCAATGTGAATGCATGACATGTTCATCCTTTCTTTTTTTCTTCTGCAGTTATCATGTGATGTAAAATTGGACCCCCGCCCAGAATATCATCGGTGTATACTGACTTGGCATCACCAAGAACCACTACCTTGGGCACAGAGTACAGGTTAGTGCCCTGTCACACAGACTGACAGACACTCACACAGGTCCTTGCCTTCCTACCTATTTGTCTCAAAACAACCAAACCTGGGCGCATGTTTTTTCATATAACCTTAGTTATGCAGACTGTTTTACTGACATACTTGTGCACCCATACGTGTATATTAGTACAAAATTCAGTCATGATATGACTTGCGAACCTAACCATTAAAACTTATATAATATAAATAACAGAAATGTGATTCTAGCTGAACTGGAAAAGTAGAAGAGATAGCAGAGATTGTATATGTTCTCTTAAAGTAGACCAAGGCCTTATTAGTTGTTTGCCACCTAGTGATACTTCAGGATACTCAGCTGCAGTTGAGGTAAATACTAGATTTTAATACTTTGTTAGCTATGTACTGCTAGAAGGCTAACTGACAGTTTCACAAGAGATTCAGGTCCTTAAACAACTAATTGTCTTTTTGGTACATCCAAATTGTTTAATAAAAAGCTCTATATATGTCTCCACAGGGAAAATATTAGTTCCTGACTGTTTACGCAGATAAAGTTCTTACCATTGATTCCATCACACAGCCAGCTATAAGTCAAGTTATTACTTAGATCTACAATGCTGTGTTTGGTTTACCTCTGTTTTGTTTTGCATCAGTTCTTTCCCTATACAAACAGACTATATGGAATAATTTCTCTGTCAATCTGGAAGTCTGAAAACTAAGAAACTAAAGGGAATGACTTTTTATTGCATTTTTGTTTTTTGTCAGTACAACCAATATGATACCGTTCATATTCAGGATGTGTTGTGAAGCCCAGTGTTCTTTTGAGGTGGTTCTCAGGGTACAGCTTGAGCTGGGTGTCTCTGGAGAGGGACTCCTACACCAGATCGCACCCTCCAGTTGTACCATCCAGCACTTGATCCCAAAATCCAATCACTTAATTCTGGTCAGTGGCCTCTTGATTTCTTATTGGGTTTCTTTGTTGCTGGCTTGGCCTTTTTCTGAAGTTACCTAATTCTCATGGAATTGGTTCCTTGATCCTTACCTTCTTCATTCTGCTCGTATCTGCCAGATTTAGCTAGTTCTGTGCTAGCAGCATTGATTTTATTGAAAACTATTTTAGCTACTAGTGCTAAGCTACTGATGCTAAACAGGAGTATTCTGCAGCCCAGCAGAAAAGGACCTGGGGGTGCCAGTCAACAGCTGGCTGAACGTGAGCCAGCAGTGTGCCCAGGTGGCCACTGGTTTGTATCAGCAATAGTTTGGCCAGCAGGACCAGGGCAGTGACTGTCCCCCTGTACTCAGCACTGGTGAGGCCACACCTGGAGTCCTGTGTTCAGTTCTGGGCCCCTCACTGTGAGAAAGACATTGAGGTGCTGGAGCATGTCCAGAGAAGGGCAATGGAGCTGGTGAAGGATCTGGATCACAAGTCCTATGAGAAGCAGCTTTGGAGTTGTATAGCCTGGAGAAAAGGAGGCTAAAGGGAGACCTTATCGCTCGCTACAACTGAAAGGAGATTGTAGCAAGATGGGAGTCGGTCTCTTCTCCTAGGCAACTAGCATCAGGATAAGAGGAAATGGCCTCAAGCTGCACCAGGGGAGGTTCAGGTTGGACATCAGGAAGAATTTCTTCACTGAAAGGGTGGTTAAGCCTTGGAATGGACTGCCCAGGAAAGTGGAGTCACCATCCCTGGAGGTATTCAAGAAACGACTGGACATGGCACTTAGTGCTGTGGTTTAGTTGAAATGGTGGTGTTCAGTTAAAGGTTGGACTCAATGATCTTGGAGGTATTTTCCAATCTAGATGATTCTAATCAGAGAGAATAAAGTTAATCAAACTTATTCTATAACAATATATTAAAAATATTCTAGACTGTGATGATTTTAATGTTTGTACAACTGGATTTAGGTATACAAGTAGAAAACTAATTTTAATAAGATTAGAAATTCGAACAGAAAAGCAATTTACTAGGACAAGATACATGTACAGATAATGTGGAAGGCTGGATAGGAAAGCAATCAGTAAAGGGAGTGATGATTTTGAGAGCTAGTCCGATGAGAAGCTGACTAATTCTCCACAGAGCTCTCTGTTTCCATTCACCTTGGAACAGGAAGATCTCAGCTCTATGAAAAAGTTAGCCACATAAATGTCTTCGCAATAACAGCTTTTGTTTGTTGTGTGATGCGTTGCAGCATTTGGAACTAACTGAAGACTTAATTGTTCTCTGTCTCCTGTAGGGAATCAGATGAGCAGTCGTCTGATGAGTATGCGCAGTGCCAATGGACTGTTGATGCTACCTCCAAAGACAGAGCAGTATGTGGAGCTTCACAAGGGGGAGGTGGTGGATGTCATGGTCATTGGAAGGCTATGATGTCACCAGCAAGAGCGAAGCTTTGATGCATGTCCACATATCATTGACTGTATCCTGTAATATGCAACGGCACAGCTAGTTTTTCTGATTTGGATAAAAGTTGATCAGTATAGTCAACATCTTGAAATATATTTCAAATGGAATTTAAATAAATACCTTTTAAAAAAAACTTTAAAACAAATCTTAACAAAGAAATTTATTCTGATTATATCAAAGCAACTTTTTCCTTTCCTTGCAATTGCTTTGTGTGTTCAATGCTAGTTCTAATAGCGGTAGCTTTTAGTAGACAGCAGTAGGTGCCTGCAGAACTTGTGTTTTTTCTCATCTTTAAGATACAACTACTTATGCTCTTAAAACAAGGCTGTCTGCTTATTTATACTAGCGTAGACAACACTTGGATTTCCCTTATTAGTATGCTTCATAACCGCTTCACAGAGAGCTTCTGCTTGTTCTTTATCTTGTATCTCGTGTTGATGTGCACAGTGCCAAAAGCAGAGTGGCTGCACTGGGAACCCAATGAAGCCCCGAGGTTTTCTCACCTCGCTGTGCTTTCAGGGATCTCTCTTGTCCCAGCAGCCACCCAGCTCAGTACTCTTGGGCAGTAACTGGATACCTTTTATTTCAACAAACAAAAAAATTGCTTCCTTAAGTGCTGACAGCCTTTTTAACCAATACATTTAAAAATGTACAGAACTAAAAACTAAAAAAAATCAAAGACTGATCTTGTACAGATATTAGTGTTACCAGCATTCATGTGGAAATCAAATGAGCAAAGAAATAAAACTAATGTTAAACAACTCTGTACCATAACATTTTCTGTAATGATATTGAAACTTAAATGAATAAAAAAATCCTCAATCATTATTTAAAATTTCACCTTTTCAGCCTTTTTGTTTGAAACAAAAAAGTAGTGATTTAAGAGGGTATTTGGGGTGGGGGAAGAGGACAGGAAGGAAGAGAAATAGTATGTGCAATCTGGGGCCTTCCTTCATGTACATTATCATGGGTGAACTAAAACTACAGAGTGAGCTCTCTCTCACTCACCTCCCAAGGAATAAAATAGAAGCAGTGTTTGGTGGGTGGGATTTACAATCAGACTAGTCAAAGATGGAGAATACTTTCTTTTTCCCATCTAAATTGCATAGCAATTGCAAATAGCCCTCGTGCTGCACTGCGTGGAATTTGACAAAGTGTTCTTTTCCTCTTTCTTTTTTCCCCCCATGAGATATGGACTTTTCAGCTCTTCCCAGATTATGTATTTTGGTAATTTCACATTTCATCTGGGATTAAGATCATAGCACTGCCCTACAACACCTTACTTCATGGAGTTCATGGGTAAAATGCTATCTCATCAGCTCCATTCATGAAGCCAGAACATTTGTCTATAGTATTTTTTGAAGACTTAGTCAGGGAGAACACAGAAAACTGGTTTTAAATCCTGACTACCACAGTGGACCAGAGCTGTAGTTCTATTATAACTGCATCAGGGCACCCCTGAGGCTGGTTTTAAAACCAAACTCTTTGTTTGCAGTGAAACAGCCTGAATACTCCCTGCATGGGCCATTGCAAAGGTTGAAGTCAAGTGTGTTTGAAGGCAATCCAGGGACTGATTGTTCAGGAAAATAGTAAGACAACTTGCTCATCATATTTCTTTGTTCTGGACTACATGTCCACATTTGTGATCACTCTATGTAGCAGCAGGATGATACCAAATTAAAATCATGTATGCCTGTGTTTACTGTAGCAATGTTGTAAACCACAGAAGAAGGAAGAGAGAGGAGAATTAAGTCCTCTCTGAGAAATAATGCAGAAGACTGCCTATTATAATTCAAAGGATTAATATTATTATATAGTCAAGGGTTATTATAGGCAGCCTCCCTGAAACAACATCTCAGCCTCGGCCATATTGATCACCATAACTGGTCTACTCTCACCTCCAGTCGGGAGGTCTGGAGACACACCATCTATAACGCTGCTGATGCTTTGAGAAAGCACACAGGATCACTCTTGAGGAGGAAAGACAACGCAGAAAGAATCGTGTCTTGGAGAATACACCACCTAAGGAGTCTCTGCTGTGCCTTTTGCAATTGGACGTGTCTATCTCGTATTGGCCTCATTAGCCACCAGCGTGCTTGTAACAAATGTGGATAGAGCCTTCCTAAATCTTCATTCACGAAGCCTAGCCATGAAAAAAAAAAAATTATAGGCAGCATATGTAATGAAAATCAGAAAATTATAAGGACACCAGTAACAACAACCTGAGGGAAGATTGTTCATGCAATTGGAGAAGCTAGATAAAGATAAAAGAAAGATGTGAGGAAACCTAGCCAGAAAAATCTTAGGTTTGGTTTACATTTACAAATATTGCTGAGAACAGTTGGCACAATGGTATGTATAAAGGGAAAAAAAAACCATGAAAATCATCTGTCATTTTTGCTGACACTTTACAAACATTTCTAATAGACTTTCATCCCAAATAAATTCAGGAGTATATTTCCAACCTAATATTTTTTTTGTGAGGTTATTTTGCACATTTCCCAAATTCAAGGTAAGAAATTCCTCGCTGAAATGCATTATATCTACGATAGTTTCCTTCCTGAAGCTAAAGCCAGCTTGTGTTTCCCATGAAAAAGCTGAACTCTAGGACTACAGGTTAGACATGGAAGGGCATTTATGCATGTAGTCAAAGAAAACAGAGACACCTCTAGGAGAGCAGGACAACAAGGTGGTCAAAGTCACAGCTATTTATGAAGACAAAGGGTTTGCAGTGGGGAGAACAGTTGTAGCAGCTGGTGATCATTACAGCAACAATCTGTAGAACAAGGTATAGTTTCCCATAGCAGTATTTGGTCCATAAATCACAATGAAGTGCCTTAGCCTCAAGATGAAGAATGTGATCTCTGTTAACTGTAACCCCTTTGCCTTCCTAGTGACAGCCAGTCTCAAAAGACAAAGCACAGCATTTGCACCCTTTCAGCATGATACTGTCAGCAGCTGGACTTCTATATTTACTCAGACTGAAAAAATTCACACTGCTGTTCCTTCTGTGTTTTCTTTTATGGATTTTTTTTTTTTTGCGTGTTTGATTGTTGGTTTTTTTCAAACTTGACTGTTGTTTTCTATTAAATCTATCCCAGCCTCCACTCAGAAAGATGAGTCACCGTGCCACATTTAAACTCAGCATTGAAACGCAGACAAATCTTGGGTAATTCGTGGGGAGAAAAAGCCTGCACATTTTGCAAATGTTACACCCTCGTGAGCTGCTGCTAGTTGCATGTTTTCTGAAAGGGCTTAGTGACTCATTCAGCATTAGATTAAGACTTGCTCTGTGCATTTGTGCCATATTGTACACAAGCTGATAAAGCCCTTGCAATATAAATCCTTCAAAAGGAGGATGCACAGAGGCTCAGTAGCTCTCTGGTTGTTAGACTGGTCTGGCTCGGATGACTTGCTCCATCCCAGCACTGTTCAGCAACATCCAGACTGTTCCGTCCCTATGCAAGAACTGCATTTCCATGGACCCAATTGAGGTTTAAAAATACAGGCAACTACTTAATTTTTGCAGAGTTAATTCACAAGCAAAACTGAAACCTTACCGTACACTAGTAACTCCACAGATAATCTGAGCATACCAAAGAAAGCAAATCTACTGCCATGATCTTGATAACCAGTGATTCAAAAGTAAAGTAATTTCAAGAAAAGTATAAGAGAAAATGGAAGGTAAGTGTGTATATAGATAGATATATATATGTGCAAAATCTACCAGATGCATTTGCTTCCCTTAAAAAAAAACCAACCTGATATTGCAACACATATATTACCAGCCACTAGCACAGGAAAATCTGTCCCACCAGACTGACAAGGAAGAATGCAAATTGGTTTTTGTTGGTACCTATCATTCTCACACATTTTACTGTGGTCCAAGATGGTCTGAAAGGATGCCATTGCCAAACAAAAATTGGAAAGATCAACAGAACAAATAACAGCACATCAAGGATGAAAAGCTTTTAAAAAACAACACAATATTACGTATCTGACAAGAGCATTTCCTAACTGTAATCAGTGACTTCATCATTTTGAAACATGGTGCTGGATGGACCACTAAGGGGGACCCAATTTTGCAATGTTGTGCAGACCAGACACTTGGCCAAGGGGAAGCCAACACAGATGTTTGCACACACGTGTTTCTACACTGGCAATGGCTGGAACTAACAGGAGAAGGGGACTACTTAAGAAATTACTGAGAAAGAAACAACATAATGCCAGAAACGTCCCTGTGCACTTTTTGATATATATTTGGGGGGAGGGGGAGCGGCGTTTTTTTGTTTTGTGTTTGGTTTTGTTTTGGTTTTTTTAATTTATTTTTTAGTGGTTTTTTTTTTTTAAATTAGCCCTGTGCAAAAAAGTGGCCAATAGTTGACAATACTTCTCTCAAGAGAAGTATAAATGCATGGCAAGTAGATAATTATCCATCTTTCAAATACTACCACAGTGTTTGTGGCAAGAAATCCCACATTTTCACAGTGTGAAGCAGCATCTCCTCTGCTTTATTCTGAATCTGCCACCTCCTAGTTCTGTTTGATGCCTCTCAGCTTTTGTGTTAGAGTAGATAAAGAGAAGTCACCCTCACTTTGCCACCCACAGTTTTATAGATGGCTATCATCTGAATTACAAGTCCTAATCTATGTAGTCTGCCCTTTGTGGTCACAGTCCATATCCAAGGGTCTATAGATTGGATGATCTCTGTCATAGAATCATAGAATCATCAAGGTTGGAAGAGACCTTTAAAATCATTAAGTTCAATCATCAGCCCAGCACTATCTCTGTAACCCCTAAACCACTTACACCATGTCAGCCATTCCTGTTGCTCCTCTTTGCACCCTCTTCAGGTTTACTATATTCTGTCTGAAACAAGATCAGAACTGCATACGTATTAAAAGGTGACTATCTCGTGTAACCACATAATGATGACTTCTGTTTGTTCTCTACTTCCTAATAATTTTTGTTCTTCAGTGCCTGTGATCAATGTGTTTTTATGTATCTTAAAATACAGATAACATTAAATTCTCATGTTTTATTGGTAGTAGTCAACCTAGGAACAGTAATTATAATTACAGTTTAATAAAATATTCTCCTCACATGAGTCATTTTACTTTTATCTGTGTTGAATTTCCTTTGCTGTTTTAATTCACTTCCACTCAATTTTGAATGATGTCTGCAGTTCTTGGTCCTGGTAAATAGGTATTTTCCTGTAATTTAGTTGATTTTAGTTCAATCTGGTAATGGAGACTTCATTGATTACCTCAGCTGAGGATCTGTTCTATATTGTGTGAAAAGACCTGTTTTGGTGGCTTGACAGCTATGCTATAATACTTATACTTTACCTTATTATGCCTGATCTTTTCTTGTGATTAATTGTCAGCTGGACTGCTCACAGCTGCTGACAGCCTCTTCAGCTGTGCTCATTTTAGGATGCTGTTGCATTGCTTTGGAGAACTGCCAGATGACCATCCTCACACATACATGGAGATGCTGCAGAGTAAAGAATTGGGCTTAATATTTTCCTATAGCTTTCTTATATTTGGGTGAGGCTGCTGGAACAGGCTTGTTCATAGTGAAGACTGGCAGTCAGTCTTTTGGGATGTGGCTCTGCAGAGCTCCATGTTTAGGGGCATGTGCTGCACTCAAAGGATTTAGCTCACAGGAACGTATAGGTGAGTCTATTGGAGCCACTGCTGATTACAGCAGGTCAGCTGTAGTATACTCTGCTTTTCTGCAAGCACAGCCTGCCAGGACTTCGGGTTTAGAGCTAGGTAGCTATTCATCAATAAAGTATTGAATAATGAAAATAAAAATGGCCTAAGAGCTATTTATCTGCCAGTCTTTCATGGGGGGAGAGGTACAGATGCAGGTGCAATGGTATTTGAGCCCATCTAAATAAAAGATAGTTAGTGGGCACTGTACATCCATGACTGACTTTCTGTAATTTACTCCCTAATGGCCAAATCTAATCAATTTGCCCAATGTGCTATGAAAAGCCAGAGAACAGAGCAGAAAATAGGATTTAATATGCTCTTGGCAATATGTGTTGCTAAGGAGTCAGGCTGCAGTCTTCTCCATTAACTGGTTTTTCTAAGAGGTGGTGACGAGGGTTAGATTAAAACAAAAAACAAACAAACAAAACTCACAACAAAAAGCCCCAAACCAATCCTCTGTTAAGAGGTGGGATAAAAAGCAGACATACAAAGGATCATAGGGGATGGTGGGTGGGCAAACCTGAATAACACAGTGTCCCAGCTTTTCCCATCACAGAAGCCGTCAGCCCATCACATGTGCACTTGTGTGTGTGTGCCTGAGTGAGGGGTCAGTATCAGCAACAAGAGTGGGATTGCAGTCTCAGGGGCTCATATATCCAGATGCCAGCAGCTGGGGAGACTGGTAACCAGAGGCCAGATACTGGACAGACTGTTTGAGCTCAGCTGCTGATGGACTACACATTGTATACATGCTTGTATTTCCCAGTAATGGATCTCCATTACTCTCCACCCTGATCAGTCAGAGAAGCAAAACAGGATGATGCCATTGGTGCTGTCTGTGTTTGTGTGAGTGCTGTATATCCAGAGCAAGACATACAACTACAAACTCCATTTTAAATTGGCTTGTTAACTCTCAGGCCAGGGCCCTGAGTGCCCCAACAGGCCTTAATTGCTCTGACCAGCCTCACCTGGGATCTCTACCCCATACCCTCTACCCCGGGGCTGGGAGTTACACTTTGGCCCCAGCTTGGTACCTAGTCCTTGCTGGAGAGAGGCTATAGCTGTATCTATTGTCAGCCCTGAGTCCTGTTTGGACTTCCTTGGATAAATATAACAGTTCTGTCTTCAGTCCTGCCTCCTGCTACTCCTAACTGGACTCCTGAAGCAGAGTCTCAGGATAGACTCCAGATCTGATTCTGCATCTTGTCTTGTCTGCGCCTGCCAGCAGATCCTGTTACCACCATCCTTAGCCCATTCCCTTGGAATTCTGCAGTACTGGAGGACTGTGCCTTGACTGTTCAAAGCAATGACTCTGCTGAGGCCATCCTTGGCTCCTAGCTCATCATCCCTCGTGGAGCAGACCAAATCTTGCTGTTCTCTGGCAACCTGCAACACCTGGAGAATACCTATGGAAAAACCTCTGATGTTATCATGCCCTTAACATCCTCATGTGGCAGATGAATACAAGCTACCTGTTACCACTACGCCCTGATACAACCAAGAAATGGAATTGTGAGAACACAAAGTGGGTGATGCATTACAACGTCAGCAGTGACTGGTCTGAGTTCTTCCAAACCACCCTGCCTGATAAAACTGGCTGCCTCCTGTATGTGCACTCAAGCACCACTTCTCTTCATATCATCACTTAAATAAACCCAACCAGGGAAACCAGATCATCAAGACGGTGCCTGATGATGATGCCAATTTTGAGTTTGTATCCTGGGAGAACTCCAGTGGTCTCTGCAGAAAGTACTAGCGCACTTGTGTCCTCTCATCTTACCCCCTGCATAAGAAATGCGTGGACCTCAGTGAAACAAGGTATGATTGGGAAGCAGAGATCTACTACACCTGTTCTTTTAAAAAGACTAGCGGTGAGTTATTTCTATTCTCTTTGGCATTCCATCACTTAGGTTAATAGAAATCAACTGTTTAATAAAGATTTATGAAATGTAATTAATTATTAGCTTTGAATGGTTTTGTTTCCCCCAGTGAGGGAATTAATTTTGTTACTTGTTCTCCAGTTTTTGTGTTAAAGTCGGCTTGATTAGCTGCCAGAGAATTCTAACTTCAGAGCGTTAAGTCCTGCCCTCTTCTTGATGCCTGGCAAAAACATATGTGATCCAAAAGGTGCAAAGACAGAAGTCACCATCAAGCATTGAGAACAGTCCAAGTGTTTGTACTGTTATTTGCAAAGTATGTCACTATACTATTGTAAAAAAATACATTGCCTTAACTGTCAAAACTATATAAGAATACTTATAAACAAAAAGAATATACTGAAGTATAGAATAGCATGTGCAAAGTATGTCTGTAGATTCACAGGCCCTTTTTCTTTAAATAAATAGTAAAAGAGGAGTTGAGAGCTGTTAGAAAGCCTTACAAAGTTCTCTTTTGCTCTTGATATTGCATGTTCTTAAAAATGTGTGTTTTGTGGGGAGAGGTTCTGCTGTTTCATAGTATAATAAAACCTAAGAGAAAGCATTATGCTTGTTTCTTTTAATAATCATTGGAGAGGGGATGTTTGGGTTTTTTAACATATAAGCTTTTTTATTTTTATTGCCTTTAACTTGTAAATTTATTTTTCTTTTGTGGATAGGCAAAATGAATAGCAAGTTTGATTTTTAAGAACATCAGTTCAAGTCAGATGCCCATCATGGGTGATCTTCAGAGACTTCTTAGCCAAGGAGAATATTACCCTTTTTCTTTTTCTCCCTCAGCTCAACAGGGATTACTCATTCATTTATTCTCACTATTACTGTTCTCCGTTTTGTCCTCTCACTAGTATTGTTCTCTGTTTACTACACATGTATGGACATATTTCCCTTTTCTGTATAGACTTATTCTGTTCACACTTTAAAGGCAATAGTTCAGAAACCCAGCAGCAGCAGCAGCGCTGCAAATTAGAGAAGGACAAAGAATTATGTTTTCACTCTCCCTTGTCCCTACTCTCCTGTAGCAGCAGCTAGGACTGAAAATTTTTTCAGCTAGGACAGAAAAATTTATGGTTCTGTGCTACCTCATTAAGGTTTTTAGCCATCAACATCAATTCAACCCAGTCAAAATCAAAGCCAGTCTTTCCCGGGCAATCTCCCACCACTTGCAATTTCTAATATCCTTGCAGGGACTATCACGACCCTGCCTGTCACCTTAAGCACTGGCCAAAGAACCCTGCAGGACTCTGGCAACAGTCTACACTCCTGCTATTCCACATTCACAGTGTGTCTAAAATATATGAATTCTATTTACATGAAGAATCTCAACAGTGTTTTTCATAGGGTTTCATTACCTTACTTAGTGATAATTGCAACATCCTTTGGTCTTGGTTTGATTAATTAAATCTTGCATTGTTGGTACACATGCAGAATGTTGATGAGCTATGAGTCTCCATTTTCAGGGTACTTTATGATTTATCCCTGCTTTATTTATCAGACCTCATTTACTACAAAGGAGATAGCTGCTTTAACCAATCAACCCAAGAAAATAACTCCATCACTGACTCATTTACATTAGAATAAAATTTAAAAATAGCCTTTGTTCCTTTTTTACATGCTGTCTCTCACATTTTGGAGGAGATTCTAATAGACATCCACAAATTTACTGCACTGTTCTCCCTCAAATTCCTTCCCTAGATCACATTTTTTCCCTGATGGCTGTCAAAACCAAATCCTGAAAATGGTACATAACATATGATTCAATTATACTTATCAGCTTATTCTTACCTTCTTGTATTTTTTGTTTTTCTCTCTCTGTAATTTCATTTCTTACATGTAAATTACCTGGGATCTTTCTCTGGTCTGTTTTAGTATAGCAGGATTCTGGTTCATAACCAGGTCCCACTAACATCACAGTAACGCTGACAAAGACAGTAAATCATCAGAACTGTCTCTTCTATCACCTTTACACTAAGAGAAATGTATGGTAATGATACTTAAGAGGTTTCTGACCACAGTAATCAGATATCCAATTATTTTGATTACACAAGAACAAGTGATATCCAGTTCTCCTTTATTCTTTTTCAACTTCTTTCCCTTCTTTTCATTTTTACGTATTCCTGTCTCCTTATTCCACATTCCCCTCTCTCCTCACCAACACAGTACACAAGCTCTAGTCCACCTAGCCATGAAATGTATCAGTAACATATTCTCTGATAGATCATATGGCAAATGTCAGCACTGACAAAGCAAGACTAGAATAACTACTCTTGAGCATTGTTTCTCTTGTCTGACTGGCCAGGTAGAAATCATCCTTTGCCTGCAGAAATCAGGATTAGTCTGAGAATATACTGTGCTGCCAAACATTGTCACTCTTACATGCATAGTACCTTAATATGTGGTAATGTTGACAGAGCTTGAAGAGACAGGGTGTGACAAAGGACTGCTGCAATGCAAATGGAACTACTATTCAGCCTCAGTTTACTGGAATCCCATCTAAAATGCTCTCAGGCAATACTGAAAAGAACAAAGAACTTCAGATTATTGTGTTTCCCAGACTACAACAGTGGGAAGGATGAATTGCCTGCATTGCAAGTGCAGTAAAAAATACCTCTTAATTGCTGTGCCTGGAGCAAAGAAAAATAACTCAGCATGGATGCTTGCTGGCTTACACACCAAAACAGTCTTATACTGAGCTGATTCAGTAGACTGGTATGCAGTGTTGGCTCACTGAGCCAATAGTCTATCAGCTCCTGTGAAAGAAAAATCATTGCTGGGAGAATGACAGCCATTAAAGGTCCTGCAAGCAGGAGAGCTACCAAGCATAATGTGTTTGACTACACTTTTC